CTCATGAATGTGTCCTAGGCTCTGGGAAAATACTGCCCAAGGCCACAGGGCCCTTTCCCTGAGCAACCATGTACACTGGGCACCTGCTCCCTAGCCATTAAGTCTGTGGCTTTACGGCAACTCTCAGGTTGTAGCCTGTACTGTTAATTGGCTCCTTTATTTCACTGATTCAAAGACATGTATTTTCAACATTTTTAATATCTCAGAAGTTGGTGTATTACAAGTTAATCAGCAGTGCGCTTTCTTTCTTAGTAGTATATAAAATAATGATGTGTCCTTACAAGCAATAGTGTCAGACCCAATGACATTTGGGCAATTTCTCAGGTACCTAGATTGCAGTCCCCACGGCAGCTCAAACGTTCAATAACAGGCCGCCAGAGAATTCCAGGAGGTGCTGCCCATGCTGGAGTGGGAGAGTACTGGGTCCCCCCTGATTTCAGCAGTGGCCCCCAAAATCATTCTCACCCTGCTGTGGCTAAGTAAGTTTCAGTTCTATTCTCCCCCCTTTTTCCACCTCCATGGGGTTTATCCACACCAAGCGTTCCCTGCAGATTCTATTAAAACCCACCAGACTGCCTACCCTCTTGCTTATTTCCTCCATGTTTCTGAACAATTTTTGGAAAGGTCATTTATTTTCTATTCACACAATCCACCCACCCCTCCACCCCTGCACCCACTGATGCATACTTTCTCCCCCGCCTATAAATGCCAGGCCCAAAGTGCTGCTCAAGCAGTGCTTGAGTGCCTGAACATGAGCCGTGAGAAGCTGAAAAGGGGGCGTCTCACAGCTCACAGAGCCGAGTAAACACAGAACTGTGAGCATGGCCCACTTAGCTCTTCCATAGGTTACAAATTCATATCTTACAATAAAGAATCTGTTTCAAAAAGCCTAATTTTGACTGTGAGGGAGTTTCCAAAATTCCTATTTTGGTATACATTTCTCTAATGATTCAACTATATTTAACCCATTAAGGGCGTTACACCTTGTGCACATATATTTATGCATTAGTACCTCATGTACATATGTGATAATGTCACATAAAATACTCCATAAAAGTCCCCACGGAGACGCATCTCAAACTCTTGGGCAGCAGAAATGGACAAAAGCATGATTCCAAGTTCAGGCCACAGCTTGAATATCAAATTATTGTATGAAAAGGGAAAGTGTTTTTGTGGTGAAAGCACCCAGATTCCTTAGAGGCAAAAAGGAAGCTAAGAAAGGGAGAATAAAGCCCCCAGGAAGAGGACTCTGGGTTGGGGGGGGACAGTTCTTTCTCTCCAAAAAGCCTAAAACACCCTGACGCCTCCTGCCATCTCTCTTTCTCAATGACCTCCTTTTCCCTCCTTGCTTCTCTGGGACCAACTCCACTCCTGGCGCTGCATCTTTCACTAGGGTTTCCATCAGAGGTTCTCTATGTTTTCATCAGAGATATAGACCTAATACATTCTTAAAGGGGCTACTAGTAATTGCGGAGTTTACTGTGTCCCAGAGCAGCTAGGCCACATTTTGATGGTGTATGAGATGGTTATGGGTGATGGTTACAGGCTTAAAGGATGTTTTTACTTTAAGGCTGTATGTTTATTTTAATATACATCGGGGGAAAAAAATATGGCTATGACTTGTGATATCATAGATATATCTGCTCAGGAGAAAACTGATTTCAAGTTGACTTTTTTACAATTAAGCAAGTAATAGTTTGAAAAGTGAAAGGGAAGTCGCTCAGTCGTGTCTGACTCTTTGCGACCCTGTGGACTGTAGCCCACTAGGCTCCTCGGTCCATTCTCCAGGCAAGAATACTGGAGTGGGTTGCTATTTCCTTCTCCAGGGGATCTTCCTGACCCAGGGATACGAAGCCTGGTCTCCTGCATTGCAGGCAGACACTTTAACCTCTGAGCCACCAGGGAAGCTGTAGTTTAGGCAAACTTAAACTAGTGATTCTCTCTGCCCCCAAGGTCCCCCACCTCAGTAAATGGCACCACTGTTGTTCCAATGAAAACCTTGTAGTCCTTCTCAACTCTTCTCCCTCTGTCCCACACCCCACGCCTGATCTGTCAGCAAATCCTATCAGCTCTTCCCTGAAATGCAGTCAGAACCCGGCACTCCTTACCAGCCCTCTGCCATCGCTGTTCAAGCCTCGGCCATCTTACACCTGGACAACCAGGAGCACCACGCCCAGAGCTGCCACTCTCGCCACTCAAATGACGGCCTCTGTACGGAGGGCTCTTGCTCCTGCCACAAATCAGATCGCTTCATGCCTCGACTCAAACCTGAGAGCGTCACATTACACTTAGTACAGAACCCAAAGCTCACATGAGGATCCACAAGGCTCCCTCATACGTCAAGCATTTACCACTACCCCAACACACTCCACTCCACTTCAGCCATGCTGGCCTCCTGATGCTCCTCGAACAGGAGAGCCTTTGCATCCCTGTTGCCTCATGCAGGAATACTCCCTCCTACATGGCCCGTGCCTCTCATCAAACATCAAACAATCCTCCCTGACCACTCTCTACAACAGGCTCTCCATCATCCTGTCTGTGAATCCCGCCTATTCTTCCTCGTACCACTTCCTGTGTTATATCCTAGAAACTGTCATATCATATAGAGTCTGTACTTATTGCTTCCTGTCTCCGTTACCAGAACGTAACGCTTCATGAGGGCAGAGTCCCCTGCCCCTACCCAGCGCCTGCCACACAGTGAGTACTCGGTGACACTGGAGGAAAAGAAATGCAGCCTTCATTCAGAGCAGAACTGAGGGTGGAGGTTCATGGCTGGAGCATAACCACATCAGGTCAGGCATGTAACATGTTCATTTAATACTAACGATGCTCCTGGGAGTACTCTTGGTTGGGGAAACCAAGGTTCAGGGAAGTTAAGTCAAAAATCAAGGTTCAGTGATGCAATGTGACTTGCCCAAGGCCATACAGGACTGGTGAGCTGTTTTATCAGGCTGTGAAGGGCCCATGTTCTTTTGAAGTTACTTCAAAAGCTCATCTTCTCTTCAAAAGACCTTTCAAGGCACTACACCACCTGGGGACCAAAGGTGCAACTCCTCAGGACCACATTCCAAGAAGCGCTCAGCTAATCTGTCAGCTCATCAGCACCCCCTCCCAGCCCCATGTCAACAGGTCCCCATCCCCTCCTACAAGCCTCCAATGACCTGGTCACATCAGGCCATCAGCAGCCCCTCTTCACACTGACAGGAAAGTGCTTTAATCACTGTATTTGTGATACATGCTTCTCCACGCAGAACTGCAAATGCAATAAGGGTGGACACTGCTCTATTTATCTTCGTATACCCAGGTCCAGTGACTACAGACCAGCATCCCTTATAGCCACCTGCAGAATGATGCTGTCTGAGCTCCTCTCAACAAGACTCAGGACAGTGGAGGACAGGTCAAGCCTAGCACACGTGCATGGACACTTGGACACCTTGTGAGCAAAGATGTCATGAACATCTTTTAGGGTGGGAGGGGCCTAATGTGGGCACGCCCACCATTCCTTTGCCTTTCATCATGATGCTATGTGCTTCAAGCTAACCAGCCAACTTTTTAAAAAAATGCACACCACCCAGGAACACATTCTGGAGCTAACAAAGCTCACCTCTATCTAACCCAAGTTACTTGGGCTCCATCACACCGACAAAGGAGGGAAGCTGGTAGCCACTCTTTTGGGCAAGCCAAGTCAGCCTACAACGGTTACCACTCCAGCACTTGCCACCATCCAGCTAGTATTTCTTGAATGTTTACTACACTGGGGACATTTGCACAGGGACCCTGCCCTCCTACAAAACAGAAGGCTAGGCCTACCTAACCAACTCAAGGATGAGGCCAAACTGCCAGGCAGCAGTAAAATAAAGGGGCAGCCAAAGGTGTGGAGGGGAAGACAGCATTCCCCACCAGGGAAGGCTAAGCACTGGACCTGGCTTCAAATGCTTTACTCATTATTTTACAAACAAGGTTATTAAATGCCCACCCAGTGATGGTAGGCGATGGTGACACTCTTCATTGTAGATCATAAATCCCTCTCTTCACTTTCCACTACAGGAGGCAGTCAAGTCCACAGGCAAGTACAACAGACTGCGAAGTCTGAGGAGGACCCAGGTGACTGCCAACCTGCCCCGGCAGGTCAGAATCGGCCCATGGTGACAACATGCACCATGGATGTGAACGTGTGTCAAAACGATGCAGAGGCTGGAGGACACCAATGACAAGCCCATGAGGGTCCAGACTGAGAGGAGTGGAGTCTCAAGACTACGCCCCCACCCCCACCCCCCACACACATACTACCTACTCTTACCTAACACCTAAGGAAACTGAGGCCAATGGAGGAATAGTGAATTAGAACCAGGGTCTGAACCCAGCCATTCCTCCCATATAACCTAGAGATTAAGTTTCTGGAATCAGAATCCCTGACTTTAATCCTGCCTCTGCCACTTACCAGCTGTGTGGCCTTGGGCAAAGGACCACCTCTCTGTGCCTCAGTTTCCTCATCTGTAAAACAGGAAGAATTACAGTATCTACCTCACGGGGCTGATATGAAAATTAAACTCACAAATGTAAAGCGACTGGCACAAAGCCTGGGATACAGTAAGCGATACACAACGGGCTGGTGTTGCTATGAGGATTAACGAACAACCTGCCCAGGGTCCGGGGTGGGCTCGCTCCTCGGGCTCTCTCGGCGGCCGCGCGCTAGTGTCCCTGCAGGGTTCAGGACGCTCCTACCCTCCACGCGCCCTTGACGCTCGCTGCCACTGGACCGCGAATCCGAGCCCCCGACAGCCTGGGCAGCAGCGCGCACGCGCAGGCCTTGCGGGGCCGCACGCGCCCCCCGGTCACGAAAGAGGGGGGTGGGCCGGCCTGGGAAACGGGAAGGGTGACGGCCACACCCCGCTAGGGACAGGGAGGCAGACCAAATGCGGAGAGGGGGCCGCGCCTGCACCCGACAGTTCCCCCAGGACTCCCAACCCCCCAACCCGAAGAGCAAGTGGGTTCCTCACACTCTGCAGCAAGCTCCTCCTCTGCGCCGCCATCTTGGAGGGACCCCCGCGGACGCGCCCGCCTCCCGGCGGAGCAGTCGAAAAGGGCGGCTAGAGCGGCCCGAAGCCAGCCAGGAGGACCGCGCTATCGGGGAGCATGCGCGCAGCGCCACCCCACGGCCGAAGTGGGATGGGGGCCGTAGCGAAGCGAAATGCGCAGGCGCGCTCTTGAGTCCTTTCTGCTGTAGGGGATAAAGCGGGAAAAAGCGCGCTTCCTTTTGCGGTTGCCGCTCACCCTTTATTTGCAAGCATTCTCCAGGATCCGTGTCAGGTGGGGCTCCTAAAAGTTTGGGGTACTTTATGAGCTGTTTGGGGGCTGTTGTTATTCAGTCGCTTAGTCGTGTCCGACTCTTTGCCACCCCATGAACTGCAGCACGCCAGACTTCCCTTGTCTTTCACTGCGTCCCGGGAGTTTGCTCAAACTCGTGTCCATTGAGTGGGTGATGCCATTCAGCCATCTCATCCTTTGCCCTCCCCTTCTCCTTTTGCCTTCCATCATTCGCAGCATCAGGGTCTTTTCCAATGAGTGGGCTCTTCGCGTGGGGTTGGGGGCGGGCGAATTATTCATTAACTCAATAAATATTCTTTGGATGACTGTGCCTGACACTTTGGGGGTGAAGCAGCAAGCAAGACAGGCCCTCAAACAGCTAACATTTTAATTGGGGAGGACAACGTCAATATACGTAAGTCATTCGAATGGTGCTACTTGCTGGGAAGAGAGTTATGGATGTGGCAGGCATGAGAGCGTGGCAGGTTAACTGACAAGGAAGAGCAGGAGGGTACCGCTAGTGGCGCGAGGAAAGGGAGGGGTGGGCTCAGGAAGCGTGGGTGTCACAGAAGCCCGCGGAGGCGGGAACAGAGAGGGAGGAGGAGTGAAGTGAAGCGGTAAGAGGGCGGACTCTGACCCTGCTGGCCCAGACAGGAGTTGGGCTATTCATCTGGAGGACAAAGGCAAGTTGTTGACTTCTGAGCAAGTCATTGACAGAACCCTGTTGATAGAAAGATTCCTTTGACTACTGTGTGCAGAACTGGTGTTTAGAAGAGGATTGGAGTGGAGATGAAAAGCTAGATTAGGAGATTGTTTGCTAGATGGAGGCAACAGCCCTTGGAGTGGCCTGAATCAGCTGATGGCCTTCGGGTGGACTTTATTTAGGAGATGAAACTGTCAAAGCTTGACGATGGGTTGGTTTTGGATGATGATAGGAAGAGATGTGTCAAAGATTCAGATTTCTGGCAAGAACAGCTAGGCTTCTGGAGAGGGAGAATTTTCAGTTTGGACGTGTTGATGCTATTTCTGTTGTTTTTTTGCTTTGTTTTTGGCTGTGCAGCACAGCTTGTGGGATCTTAGTTCCCTGACTGGGGATTGAACCTGGGACCTCCGCAGTGAAAGCTTGGTGTCCTAACCACAGACTGCCACGGGATTCCCTGGACATGTTGAGTTTGAGATGCTTTTGAGACATGCAAGAAAAGGAATCAGATCATTCCTTAGAGAGGACTAGAGCTCAAAGCAGAGGGTTTGCGAGCAAAGACAACAGAAAGTGAGCAGTCGGAGAGGCAAGGGTAACAGAGGTGCCCCAGAACCAAGGGTGAGGAGGGCATGGGCGGCAACATGGCATGCTCCGAGAGATCAGTTAGAAGATAACCAAAGAAAACCCATTAGATTTAGCCGTCCCAGGCCCTTGACCCAGGCAATTCTGATGGAATGGTAGGACAGAAACCCAGATGCAGTGAGTTGAGGAGTGGCAGGGAAATGGAGACACGAAGACCTTGAGAATAGGTCTTCCCAGTTGGTGGATTCAGGAGAGGGAGGGAAGGGAACATGGGTTTGAGGGACGGTTTTTTTTTTTAGCTTGGGAGAAACTTGAGCCTGTTTAAAAGCTGAAAGAAAGGCTTAGTAGAGAAGAGCTAACATTCAGAAGGGGGAAGAGGGAGGCAGTCTATTACTGGGATGGTGATTCACCATCTTGCTGTCCTACCAACACAGCTAACTCTGCATGGCCCAAGATGGCTCCTTGAGTTCAGCCATTTCATCTGAGTTCAGCCAGCAGAAAGGAACGAGAAAAGTAGGAAGATGGCATTTGCTTCCTCTTTTTTTTTTTTTCAAATTAACATTTACTTGTAAGCAGTCTTACTGGCTTCCCAGGTGGTGCTAGTGTAAAGAACCTGCCTGCCAATGCAGGGGACATAAGAGAGACAGGGAGAGGAGGGCATGGCAACCCACTCCAGTATTCTTGACGAGAGAATCCCCATGGACAGAGGAGCCTGGTGGGCTACAGTCCATAAGGTCACACAGAGTCAGACACAACTGAAATGACCTAGCATGCATGCACACATGCAATCTCACTGGCTTCCCAGGTGGCACTAGTGGTAAAGAATCCACCTGCCAATGCAGGAGATGGATGAGACGTTTGATCCCTGGGCTGGGAAGATCTCCTGGAGTAGGAAATGGCAACCCACTCCAGTGTCCTTGCCTGGAAAGTTCCATGGACAAAGGAGCCCGGCACACAATCTCCCTTCTCTTTTAAGGAGACCCCAGAGGTGCCTCATGACGCTTCTCCTTACATCTCAATGGCTGTAATCTAGCCCCATGACCACATCTTGGTCTTGGTGAAAAGGAGGTCAGGAAATGAAGGCTTTGGATGGAGCCACAAAGTGATCAACTACAAGTTGCTGTTACAGAAAAAGGATTGGGAAATGAATACCAGGAGGCTATGTGCAGTCTCTGCAGTGAAGATAGGAGAGGCCTGGTGGTTTGTCAATTGAGAAAAAGTCAAAAGAATTAAGATTTGGAGTCCAGCCCACTTCTTTCTAATTCTTGCCCCATATCCTGTCACCTGTATGACCTTGAACAAGCCACCTGCCCTCTCTGAGCCTCAGTGTCCTCTGTAGGCTGGGAGTTATAACCTACCTGGCCGAACGACTGCAAGGATTAAATGAGATGTCACAGGAAGACCTGACCTATGGTAGGTGCTGATGTTAATTACATTCAGATTACAATGTAATGTTTTAAAAAGAGAATACACACATATTGAGCACCTACTGGATGCCAGGAACTTGGATAATTTTTCATCATACATTTATTTACTTCTCACTCCAACCTGGTGAGATGGGTATTGTAATCATCCTAATTTATAAAGCAGGAAACTTGAATTCAGCAAGTCAGCCAGCAGAAATGTCAGGATTTGAACTCCAGTCTTCCGACTCTTCATCTTCTTCCCAGGTCCTAGCACAGAGCTTCTCAAAGAGTTTTGGGGACTTCCTGGTGGTCCAGTAGCTAAGACTCCCCACTCCCAATGCAAGGAGTCCGAGTTCGATCCCTGGTCAGGGAACTAGATCCCACATGACATCCCACAAGAACCAGCATGCCTCAATGATGAGCGAAGATCCTGCTGCTGCAACTGAGACCTTGTGCAGCCAAATAAATATTTTAAAACAAAATAAACAGTTTTTAAAAATTAAAAATAATAAAAGAGTTTGGACATTTCCTGACAGCAGTGATAGGAGCATCTTGTTATTTATAGCAAGCACTTATCCACTGTACTGGAGTTTATAGATAATGAACGATGTGACTGGAAGGTCTTAGATAACTTCTGGAAGGAGGCTGATTGCAGAGGGACCAACCGTGTGGTTAGAGGGCTGGAGCTTTAGGGCCCCCACCCTCCACCCGAGGGGAGGGGAGAGGGGCTGGAAAGGGAGTTAATCACCAGTGGCCAATGATTCAATCAATCATGCCATGGATAATGGAACGTCCATAAAAACCCTCAGTGAAGGGTTTCGGAGAGCTTCTGGGTTTTGAATACGTCCACTTGCTGCGAGTGTGGCACATCTCAAACTCCATGGAGACAGAAGCTCTGTTCTCTGTGCACTCTAGCAGAGCTTACCTATGTACCTCTTCATGTGGCTGTTTGTGTCCTTTGTAATAAACCAGCAATAGTGAGATGTTGCCCTGAGTTACGTGAGCTGTTACAGCAAATTATGGAATGGGAGGAGAGGGTCAAGGGAATCTGATTTGTAGCCAAATTGGACAGAAATGTGGGAAACCTGAGGACCCTCTGCTTGCAACTGAAAAGGAGGGCAGTCTTGTGGCACTTGACCCTTAACCTGTGGCATGTGTGTGTGCTAAGTCGCTTCAGCCGTGTGTGACTCTGTGCGACCCTGTGGACTGTAGCCCACCAGGCTCCTCTGTCCATGGGATTCTCCAGGCAAGAATACTGGAGTGGGTAGCCATTCCCTTCTCCAGGGGAATCTTACCAACTCAAGGATTGAACCCGCGTCTCTTACATCTCCTGCATTGGCAGGCAGGTTCTTTACCACTAGCGCCACCTGGGAAACCCTCTTAACCTGTGGGGTCTGCACAAACTCCAAGTGGTTAGTGTTAGAATGAATTAAATTACAGGGTGCCCCATTGGTATCTGCAGAAGACTGGAGAATTGTTTGCTGGGGGAACCCACAAGCTTGCCCACTTGCCCTCAGAAGTGTCCTGCTGTTGTGGGTAAAAACACGTCAGTACGAGATGACAAGGCCTTTCCTGGAAACCCTGTGAAGTAGGCAGACCCTCCAAGGCCCTTCCCAGCTCAGCCTGAGCTTAACTGCTTCAAGTTTCTCAAGCAACCATGTGTTTCCTGCCTCCATCTTTGTCCCTGTTGTTCCCACACATGCCTAACCAGTGAACTTCTGCTCCATCTTCAAAGCCCCTTAGCAAATGAAAGCCCTTGGCATTTTTCTTGATCCTCTAGGAGAGGAAGAATTTCCCTTTGCCCTTCTAGCTTCTTTTTGGCTGGTCTAATAGAATTAAATTGGCAAAAGACAGATCAACAGGAGAAAAACAATCTAATTTAATTTCATCCATATGGGAGCCCCAAACATACAAAGCTCAAAGAAGTGACCAAAGCAGGCAGCTTTTATACCTTGCAGACAAAGAAACAATTATTTGTGAAGATTGGACAAAACAAAGGGCTTTTTGCTTGGGGTAGCAAGTTAATGAAGAAGTAACA